GTGTGTCTGCATTACTGCATTACAGCAGATATTTTAGAGGCTTGAAAAAAGGTTTTAAGGTATATGCACAAATAATCACTCAAATCTCCTAGAATCGGTAATATGTTGTGCCAATTCAAAACTAATTTTTTATATTTTTAAATCTGCATCTTTCATTAAAATAATACCTGGTTATCCTGGTATAGGATGACAGCATTCTCCCAAGTCTGTGACCGTGCCGAATGCATCCCTGATGGAGACTACAAGCAGCCACGCCAACACACATTACACAGTTATGGTCAACCAAGAAGATGATCCAAAGACATGAAGACATGGAGTGGCTGAAAAAGACTGAAGGAGATTAGCTGCAGTGCAATGTGAAAAAAAGATAAAAATAAAGTTAAAAACAGTATTTTAAGAAAAAAAAGGCAATAGTTCATGGTACACAGTGAATTTGAATTAGGAAAACCATAAAATAGAAGTTTATGTATGGCAATTTTTACATAGTTACATTGGTCCAGCTTGAACCTATGATGTAAGTTTGTACGTGCCATACCTGTGGGAACCCTCTAGAACAGTGGTGGCAAACCTATGGCACGCATGCCATGTCGCCCCAGCATCACCCTAGCAGCTGAGCATTGGATAACGGCGTACATAGGGGCCAATGCGCATGCTTGGAAAGGAGTAGCGGCATCAGGCAATGATGTCACTAGCCGCAACTCATTAGCTGTGACTCGTCCAGTCAGTGTGCTGCCAAAAAGGTATATAAGTATTTACTTGGGCTGGGATCCCTGGACTATGATTTTAGCAGAAGCCCCCACAGGTCCACAAGGTAGGAAATGCACTCAGATGCCTTTTTCAGAGCAGGCCAAAAGCTGGTGGTCAGTGATACATTGTCCTTTTGTGTTGGTGATCAGTGAAACATTGCCCCTCTGTGCTGGTGGTCAGTGGAACATTGCTCATCTGTGCTGGTGGTCAGTGGAACTTTGCCCCTTGTACTGGTGGTCAGTGAAATATTGCCCCTCTGTTCTGGTGGTCAGTGGAACTTTGCCCCTTGTGCTGGTGGTCGTTGGAACTTTGCCGCCATGTGCTGGTGGTCAGTGGAACTTTGCCCCTTGTGCTGGTGGTCAGTGCAACATTGCCCCTCTGTTCTGGTGGTCAGTGGAACTTTGCCCCTTGTGCTGGTGATCAGTGGAACATTGCCCCACTGTTCTGGTGGTCAGTGGAACTTTGCCCCTTGTGCTGGTGGTCAGTGAAACATTGCCCCTCTGTTCTGGTGGTCAGTGGAACTTTGCCCCTTGTGCTGGTGGTCAGTGGAACTTTGCCCCTTGTGCTGGTGGTCAGTGGAACTTTGCCCCTTGTGCTGGTGGTCAGTGGAACATTGCTCCTCTGTTCTGGTGGTCAGTGGAACTTTGCCCCTTGTGCTGGTGGTCAGTGGAACATTGCCCCTCTGTTCTGGTGGTCAGTGGAACTTTTCCCCCTTGTGCTGGTGGTCAGTGGAACATTGTGGACAAAAGCTCTGTTATTGTGTTTTTCTTTTAAGACAAAAGATGTTAATGTAGGAGTGAGTAGTTTTTTCTAAACTAAAACCTCAGTATTCAGGTTTAATTGCAGTGTTGGAACTTTGCAATAAATAAGTGGGTTTTGGGTTGCAGTTTGGGCACTCGGTCTCTAAAAGGTTTGCCATGACTGCTCTAGAAGCTGGAATTCACTGTAGTAGACACTGCTATTCCAGTGATCTCCACAAGCTTCCAGGTCCTGTGCTGCATTGCGAACACAGGAGGTCACCCACTCAGCATTGAACCCATCAGAAAATACGTTACATTTTCACAATTTATGCACAGCGTTTCCTGCTTGGACCATGTGTGTCAGGTGTTTGTGATAGTAAGCCCCTGCAGATTATCAATTCCCCAGGGCATGGAGTCTAAGCCCCAGCCTGCTCTTCACCAGGGCCCTTGATGGTGGACATGAACTTGCAGCAAGCTGGAACCAGGTTACGGCGCCAAGGTATGCCCACATATGAATACAGGTCTAAGAGAAGCACTACAGCAAAGTGAGAATTACACAGCAGGAAAACTGCAGGCTAAATCGTGTTGTCACCACCCTGCCTCTCCATCTCATCCAATCAGCAAAGGCTTTGAATTCGTTGAGAAAAATGCAAAGTGTTCTTTGAATGGCACCCATGCTAAGTGAGTTCACAGTGCAGCAGGGCAGGTGCTTTACACAGGACCTGGAAGCTGGTGTAGATCAGGCCTGGACTGGCCATAAGGCACACTGGGCATTTCCCCGGTGGGCCAGGGCCACCTGGATAGGAGGGGCGGCCAGCAGGCACATAAAGGAACCGATCCATGCATTTCACTCCTGCTGCGCCCGAATGTCCACTTCTCCTCCTCTCCCTCCTGCAGGTATTCAGCAGCGGCAAAAGAGAAATCTATGGACTGATTCCTGTATGTGCCGCCCAGCTGCCCCTGCTATCCATCTCCTGCTGTCTTGGGCTCCTGTATACTCCCCTGGCAGCTGCCCCCCACCCTCTCCTCCTGTGCCTGCCCCACCCACACTCCCAGGGAGTCTTGTTTTTTCTTTCTTTCTTTCTTTCTTTCTCGTCGCATCTGGGACCAAGCTTGACCGATGTAATTATACAAAACCAGCTGTCAGGGACCCCAGATCTGGACGCAATTGCGCACGGGTTTGCGCATGCGCGGTGTGCCTGACCGCAGTAGTGTGCGAGCATTGGGACCTGGGCACCCGCGACGGCAGCGCTGTTCATACATGTGCACTCGCGATCGCGCGCCTGGCACCAATAAGGGTGCGGGGCGCCCTATTTAAAACAGGTCAGGTCTGGCTCTAATTGCCATATGGTCTTACCTGTATCCTGTGTTCCTGTATTTGAGATTGCCTTGTTGCCGACCCTGCCTGACCCTGATTTGCTGTCTGTCTCCTGTTCTGATCCCTGGCTTGTCTGACCATTCTCCTGTTTAATCCTGCACGCTTGATCTCCTGTTACCGAACCCGGCTTGTGACCTATTTATTCTTCTGTCTGCTGTTTTGGTACCGTTCTGCCTCCACCATTACTGACCCGGCCTGCCTGACTCTGCTCTCGCTACCTCCTCACATCAGGCTCTCACCTGCTATACACCTCCGGTGCTGCTTCTACCACAGCTGGGTGAACCCAGGGGTCGCGACCTGGTCTCGGCCTGCTCCAAGTCCATCCCCACCATCAGGGGCCCTGGTGAACAAGAAGGTTGGGACTTAGATTCCATGCCCTGGGGGAGTCCGGTCTGTGGAATGCTAGAGGCTACCGCCGGCAGGGACATAACACCAGCCATACCAGAAATTAATCTGTTATTGCAAAACTCTGTCCTCATAAGACTTTCTATGCCTGTATATTGAGTTAAATTGAAGACCTGCACAGTATATGTGAATTTCATATGTGAAGCTAAAAAAAACAACAACAAGAGATGTTAACTATTCTTATCTTACATTGTGTGCTTCCAATTAGATAGCTTCCCTCTGGAAATTACAAGTAGAAGGATGGAGAAAATAAAGCTCTGATCTCACTGTAGGGGAGTAAGAGGGGTCAGGGTGGCACTTGTCAGGCAGTCTGGAATAAATTACACTGAATGAACATTCCTGGTTATCACCAATGAGTAGGCATAGTTAACACTTAGAGGTGTGTGGAGGGAGTGATAAGGACCCAATGACACTATGTAGAATTGTAGCTCTTTCTTCTCATATATAAAACACTGTGTTTTGCCAAGTATGAGAGTGATAAAATATATACTGGGAAGGAAAAAGGTTTCATAACAATTTGATTTGTAGCTGCTGATAGTGTGATGTGTTCACATCACATCAAGAACCATGACTGACACAAGTGTTTTACAGTATAATAATCCTCCTGAAACAAAAGTTAGAGCTTCATAAATAAAACTGGTATACCATCGGCTTTTTCCATTTCAAAGTAAAATGAGAATAATACTGTCAGACTGCAGTGCGTGAAATGCATCAAACTAGTTTCCAAGTGTTTCCCAGACAAGAAACCCTTAAAGGGGAACCTGTGTTTTGCCAGTGAAGGGCAATACAACCCATCTGCCCTGCTTGCAGTACATAAGAACTGTTCCTTTCCTTCCCTTATTCAGCTTCATTTGCTGGGAACTACTCAGTACTTCCAGGTATGGGGGTCATGTGACTCACTCCCCTTCCTCACATGTGACAGCACTGGTACTTGAAAATTGGCCTCTGAGACACTGGGGCCATCACAATGGGTAACAAGAGGCTCCTCAGCCATGTTTAAACTATAACAAGGAACAACCTGGAACTAAATAACAACTTTTTTTTTGGCAAAGTAGTCAAAAGAAGATAGGTTTTAACCTTATTGATAGCCCCCCAAAAATATTTTTGGGTAGTGTGGGGCAGGGACACCGCTAGCATTGGGCTGCCATGGCATATGCCCCACACCTTTGCTAAGTGCTCTGGGTCCCGTGGCTGCAACAGCTTTAATTTTGTTTAAGCTTGTTAGTGAGCCTCACTTGTATTTCCTTGAATCCACATCTGTGGGCAGCTGTAGATATAAGCTCCACCACCACCACCGCCCTGTATGTTTGTAGGCAGGCATAGTCTGCTTTCTCAACTGTAGATGATGCTCGACCTGAGCAGTTCCACAGCCTGGAAAGTAAGTCAGGAGAAACCTGGTTTCTCTATGGTTTCCTAGTCCCTGGAGGGAGTGTTCCGGGTGGCTGCGCTGCATCCAGGTGACCCCTGGTGGCCATCTTGGGTCAGAAGAGGCTTTTTTAAGTCCCTGCCCCAAGTTTTGGCATGCTTTCACGTAGTGGTTAGAGTAGAGAAAGAGCACCTGTTAGGGACAGTATTAGTGGCAGGAAGAGGTACCGGACAAGTAGGGACAGCTTAGGGACTTGCAATCCTGCTATGGAAGCCTGTCCTTTTGGACCGGAGCAGGCAGGCCACATTCCACCCTCTGAAGACAGACTTTGTTGGTGCATCTTCACTCCTTGTATCTCTGCATCGGACTGAACTGTGAGCTTTACTTGAAGCAGCGATTTCCCAATGGGGTTGTTTGTAGTTCAGCATGCTTTGCAATACAAGTTTTGGCCTATCTGCAAGAGGACTTATTTTTTCCACCGCATCACACTGCACCTCCCCATATGTTCCCACCAGTCGGAACATGAGCAGGGGCGGACTGACCATTTGGAAACTCGGGCACTGCCCGAGGGCCCAGGGTCAGTAGGGGGCCCCATGAGATGCCCCTGGTACCTTTTTCATAGGCTTTTTGAGTTTGGGCAAGGACAGAGGGACCCCATGATCCCCTATTGCCCGGGTGCCCCATGAATTGTCAGTCCGCCCCTGAACATGAGTCCCAATAATGGCACGTCCTGCCTGATGAACCTGTGACAATGCCCACCCATCTGGCTCCAGCCAGCCTGTCCATTTGTGCCTGGTGCCCACTCCAACCCTTCAGTGCTAAAATGGCAAGAAAGTGAATGACTGCCTGATGCGGGGTACACACTATAAGTTTTATAAAAAAAACTTTCATATTGCTGTATTAACCAAAGCAATGTTAGTACAGTGATCTCACTGCTGCGTTATTGTGTTCTGATATGGGGTCCCCCCCCCAGTATTCTGACAGCGGGTCCGCCCCCCCTACAAAACAACACTAATCATCGCTTGCAGCTATTGGCCGAGAGCACTGATTGGATACTGGTTAGCTGCTGGTTTTCCAAGCTGGTTGCTTTTTTCGGACATGCTGCTATACACACTGGTCAAATACCGTCCGGTTTCTGTTGAATCGGCTGATACCGTCTGATATTTGGCCAGTGTGTACCAGTCTTAGGCTACGTTCACACTAGCGTTGTGTGCAGGCGGCAGAGAGGCATTTGGGAAGCGTTTTTACCGCTTCCCAAACGCCTCTGCCAATTCTGCACATTACAGCACATGGTGCTGTTCTAACGGGAGCGTTTGCGTCGCGTCGCGTCGCTTCAAAACGGACGCCTCTGGCCAAGTCAGGAGGTGTTGAAGCCTCCTATTCTCGTCTATGGTGCCGCCTGGCCGGCGGTTGCGGGGCGTTTGCAGAGCGGTAACACCACTCAAACTGCATTATAGGCGTTTGTGGGGCGTTATTAACGCTCAGCAAATGCCTAGCAACCTCCGCTAAACCGCGCATGCGGCGTTTGCGGAGCCTTTGCGGAGCGTTTGCCGAGCATTAAAAAATGCTCCGCAAACGCCGGACCAACGCTTGCCAAATGCTATAGGGGCATTTGGCAAGCATTGGTAAAACAGCCAAGTGTGAACGAGCCCTTAGGCTTTGTTCACACTAAGTGTGGATGGGACTGCATTAGACAGCTATTAGCTGCAATCCAGCCACAAGCCAAGGCAAAAGGCCTTGTCTCCTATCTGGCTGGTTCACACCACTACATTGTTGTTGTGTTCGGATAGTGTACACTGAAAAAATAAATGGCAGTCTATACTCTTTTCTAGTACAGCGCTGTGAGAGGCAACCGATGACTGTGTGACAATTAAATAATGTTTATTTAAAAAAAAGGGAACAGTGTGATGTACAGCAATACCCTGAACGGAAGGGTGAGGGCAGGGGGTTTTGAATGTGTGGGCATTGCTGGATTCTCTGTTGGGTGGGGTGCTTATGCTGGGGGCAGGGCTGGTGCCAAGGGTTTTTGTCTACACAGGCAAAGGTGTATTTTCTAGCTCCTTGGAGCCCTAATGTAGCTGCCCAAGCAGCCTTATGCTGCCGCTGGCTGCGGGGCAAGATGTGTTGTGTCATGTGATGTGATGGGCTGTTTTGCTGGTGGAAGGGATGAAAGGATTTTTGTTTGAGAAGGGGAGATCTTTATGCTGGGGGGGAGGCATTTAGATTAATCTGTTCCTTTGCCCTGCATTGGCAAAGTACAGGTTAATTTTAAGTCAGTATAAAGGTTGATACTTCATGTGCATTAATCAGTTGTAAGCTATTACAGTCAAATTACATTGTCAGGTGTGCAAATGATGATTTCTGATTGGTTGAATTACTATGAGATTTTATGTTCATGACTAAACAATATTTTATGAACCCGAATGTTTTTGGAGGAAGGCTCAAGACAAAAGAATAATGATAAAAAATGATCACCCCGTGTTTCAATTTCTGTGCTAACTCAGCAACGTGGTGCTTGGGAGAAGGGGTATTTTTGCTGGCCATCATACTCTGTATGATGTTCTATATGCTTCTTAATTATGACTGCTACCCTCTCTTATGTAATATTTGTGAATTAGGCACAAGCTGTGTTATAATTGTGGTACCATAATACCTTTTGTTCTGTTAATATATCATTGAAAGTGTTTTAAAATATCTGTTCAACAAGTGTAAAAAAAATAGCTGAGCATCCAGCCAGGAATCTTGTGAGCTGATAACATTATGTACTTTCTGCTTCTGGACTTTCTGTGAACTACAAAACACCTCCCCCTGTTATGGAGATAAATGGGTGGAGTTATGTAGTCATAACAGTGTGCTATATAGTCATAACATACTCCATTTCCTAGAGTAACAATGGTGCTAAGTACCGTTGTCACTCTAGGACAGGAAGTCTGTTAATGGCAGAATTAACAGATTAAAATAAAGGGGAAAAAAGTGTAAAAAAAAAACGAATGCAGCCACCGCATCTAAGGACCAATAAAGCTGCAATGCTATCAATTTTTGTTCTTGGGTTTTGATGAGCTTAAAATGAAAAATGGTGTCATACAAAACTGTATATATTTTTTACAGCTAGGAATATAAGTATCAATGTAACAAATAAAAAGAAAGGTCTGTGTGAAAAGTAAATATATAGTCTTTCAATCAATCAATCAATCAATCAATCAATCAATCAGAGTGTTGTGTCTTCTCTGATCCTTTCTGCATCACGCCCCTTGACAAAGTCCTCAGAGAAGGAGCTTGGGCACGCACTGGTTTGCAATTCTGTTTGCTCTGCTGATGAAAGAAGTCAGAAGAGAAATGTATCCTACATTCTGGTGGGTGAAAGATGCCAAACAGTTCTGAAGCTGTCAGCGACAGTGGGTTGCGTGTGTGATTTTAAAATTTGTTCAAACTAGTGCATTCGGTAACATTAGCAAATGTGATCCCACTTCTTTTTATTTGGTTATATCCTAATTTGAGCACAGTTAGTGCAAGAGCCCTAAATGCTGGGATTCCCTATTGCATACACTACTGCTAAAATAGATTAATTACACTCCCATTTTACCCTAAATTACCACCAGAAAGTAGACACACATAGATTAGAGTGAATTGATATGAGGTTTATGTTAAACTTTAGTGCAAGCTTGGTTAGACACTACAAAATGGTACTGGTTCTTGGGATGGCAATGATTTCTCTTAGCAACTCTAAGCAAAGAAACACTTACAGCAGAATATCAATCAATGTTAGCAGGCCTGCTTTTCAGAAGTTAATCCACTACCTTCAACCTGAGGTGTTGTCAACCCCAGTGGGCAATGAAAACTAGCAACAGTAGAACTAGCTCACTTTGGGCCCTCATAATCTGATGAAAAGACTTAAAATCTGAGATAAAAGAGCTCTTTGATGATTAGGCTAGTCAATTTCCCTATAAATGCAGTGATGATTCTTCTGCACACTCCCTGGGGCCCAGTTGGTGCACAGGTAGGACATGGTGTCGGTGACAGTTTCTTACAGGATTAACTCAAGGGGAGGAAGAATAAAGGACAATGACTTTTCCTTTAAGTGGTACTTGGCTTGGGTGTTGCACCCTTTATATTTAAATGGTTTTTTATGAGATTTTTCAAGAAAATGTTAACAAAGTAAAGAAAGCAGATTCACAGTTGTACATTACTGTTAATAGTATTCTTGGTAATTACAACATAAGATAGCAGTACAGTCTACTAGATTGCAGGTGAATATTAGTCACTACTTTCACGTGGTGATACAATGAGGAACCTGAGGGGAAAAATAGGGTAGGGGTAGGGGGTGGGGGGGGGAAAGATCAGGATGGGGTAGAAAAAGCAGGAACAATTGGGAAAAGTAACTAAGTTAAACTTTATTCCAGTCTAGGTAATATTATATACTTCACAATGGGTGGGCTATCAGAATTGAACTGTACATTTTGTATAGTGTGACCATATTGACCAAGTATGACGTAGGAGAAGTTATTGAGGACAAATCTTTTTTTCATTTCACAAGTTCAGATCATTTATCATCATAGTCATAGATGGTGATGTGAGAGAGTTCCGCAACCTGGTGATATTGTTTTTGGCTGCAAATAATATGTGGATTATTATGGTACGTGAGTCAGGGGGAAATTCTTCCAATTCTATATGTATCAGTGCTAGAGTAGGGTTAGAGGTGACTATCTTTCCAATCAACTCGGAAATTAATTGAAAAACACTGTTCCAAAGGATCTGAGTGATTTACATTGATGCCAACAGAGTGGAGAATGGGTAGAATATATTTCTGACAATCTGACAGGAGTCAGATACCATTTGTGCAGAATTTTTAGGTATGATTCCCAGTGCACAGCATAGTGGGAGGATTCGTAAGTACGAGTAAAAGTTTTTCGCCATGTTTGGTCCGTAAGTGTTTTGGATAGTATCTCTTCCCAATTTTTTAGGGATGATGTTCTTAGACTAAATTTTAAATCAAAGAGATGAGAATAATATATAGAGATCCCTCTACCTGGGTGTTTGGGACTGTTAAAGTATTGATAAGCAGAACTCGGGAGAGTGGTAGTTGGAGATGAGTCGGTAGTTAGTAGTATACAGCGCGTAATTATCATGTGAGTAAAGCGTTCTGATACAGGTAGGGAGAATTGGTCTTGAAGATAATGGAATGGGGTTAGAGTGTTGTTTGTGTATAAATCTAATAGGGTAGTAATTCCACATTTTTCCCACGGGGATAGATTAAGAAAGGGTATCAGAGAGTGTAATATATTTATGGGAAGTGGTATTAGTCTGGATTTTGGTGACTCGCAATCTAGGAGGTCATGCCATGCCTCTAGAGATGCTTTAATGCATGGGAGTTTAAGGGGAAAATGTATTTGGTTTGTAGGCCATAATAGGAGGAGATTTTGTGGTAAGAGCGGGGCGGAGCAGAGGGGGCTCTAGTGTGGACCAAATTTTCTCTTTAGTCAGATGCCACCAAAAATAAAGTTGGTCTAGTAATGTGGCTAGATAATAGGAGTGTAGGTGTGGTAGACCTGTGCCACCTCTATTGAGAGGGTGTATTAGTAAATTAGTAGCACATCTGGGTCTTTTGGAGTCCAATATAAATAGGGCAAAATGCTTCTGAACTTTGCATAAGAAGTTAGAGGGTACTGATATAGGGAGGGTCCAGAACATATACAGCAATGTAGGTAGAGTGAACATTTTTAGGGTTGCAATTCAGCCTAATTTAGATAAGCCAAAGGTTCGGAAGGAAAGAAGTTCCTTTGATAAGGATTGGAGGAATAGTTTGTGATTTGATGCATAAAGTTGAACAGTTGTAGGAGTTAAATTGATCCCTAAATATGGGATTGACTGATTGGTCCATATAAACGGAAAATGTTTAACCACTTCTTGACCGGCCGTAGTATATAAACGGCCAGATGGTGATACTGCAGGGTCGGGTGGCCGTTTATAAACGGCCTCCCCGCACCCTGATTGTGCGCGCTCCCAGGGAGCGCACAGCACCGCGATCCGGTGCCCGCTGTATCCTCCGGACACAGTGAAACACCAATCGTCGGACGGGATCTCTGTACAAGGTCCCGATCATGTGATCATTGATTTGCCAATCAGTGATCACATGCAAAGTAGTAAGCAAGATATCACTTCTGACATCATTGCTTACTATGTGTGAAATCTGTGAATGATCACAGAGGTCACATGGTACAAGGCTATTCACAACAGCCTTGTACCATGTGACAAGCTGTGACCAATCACAGCTCACTCAGTAGTTCTCAATGGCTGCAAGAATGCAGACAGAGAGAAAGAGAAATTATTGCTTTTACATCCTATATGGGTGTAAAAGCAATCAGTGTAAAAAAAAAAAATCTTTATCACCCCCAAAAGTAGTACAGTGTCACCATGGTGACACTGTACTGCTAGGGTGACAGTATGTAAAAAAAAAAAATAATAAAATAAATAATAATCTAAAAAAAATAAATACAAATGTAAACATTTTTTAAAAAAAATTATAATTTTTGGTTATAAACTAATTTGGCTTTTTTTTTTTTTTTACTAAAAAGATAACGGAATAAATTTTGGCCAAGATTTATGATGAAATATTATTTATTTGCCAAATTTATAAGAAAAACACTTTTTTTTTCAAAATTTTTGGACATTTTCAATTTTCATTTACATAGCAAAAAAAATTAATATCCCAGCGGTGAATAAACACCACAAAAAAATAAAGTTTTATCTGTCTCAAAAAAATTGTAAAAAATTCATATGGGTACAGTGTTGCATGACCGCGCAATTGTCATTCAAAGTGTGATAGCACTGAAAGCTGAAAATTGCCCTGGTCAGGAAGGGGGTAAAAGTGTCAGGACTGGAAGTGGTTAATAAGGTATTGTTTCGCTTTTGGAGGTGTATGTAGGTTTAGAATTAAAGATTTGGATTTGTTGAGTTTATAATAGGAAACTTCAGCATATAAATTGAGAATATTGCGTATTATGGGAAGTGATTAGCGTGGGTTGGTCACCATTAAAATAATATAATCTGCAAACAGGCTAATTTTGTGCTAGCAGCTATGATGGTTGATACCAGTAAATAGGGGTTCTTTAAGTTTGGCAGCAAGGGGCTCAATAAATACTGCAAAGACAATGGGAGATAGAGGGCAGCGTTGCCTGGTACCATTTGTGATTTGAAGTGAGTTGGATAGTACTCCATCTGTAAGTACTCTAGCAGAGGGAGAGGAATATAAAGACATATTAGCCACTTGTATCCAGCCCGTGATGCCATATTATTGTAGAGCTGCTTGCATAAAACCCCAGTGTATGTGGTCAAGCGCCTTCTCTGCATCCAGGGAGAGGAGCAGAGAAGGTGGTTTTGTGGATTCCAGGCTGAATATTAAGGAGAGTATTCTCCTGGTGGCATCTCGGGAATGGCGGCTCGGTATAAATCCTACTTGATCCGGGTGGATCAAAGTCAGGAGAAGCAGGAGTAATCTCCGGGCTAGTATTTTTGCAAATAAATCTATACATGATGAGGGTGAGTTTCCCTACACACCATAGGGCCAATTGATGAATTTAAAATATAACCTTTATTCAAATATATAAAAAATGTATGCTCAGCTTTATATAATGCCTATTGGAGTGGAATGTACTATATATGTACTACAACAATATGACTGGATGCCATTGCAATTATTTACCTTACATCCAAATGGTTAATAACACCAGACCAAATCAAATACCATGCTGTTTTAGATGAAGTGACGGCATACAAAGAGGCACTGTAGTTTAATCATAAGCCTATCATCTTGAATATATAATCTCTGTTAAAAAAATGTTTCACATCTGTGTTTATAAGAGACAGGACTGTCATTTTGCACAAACTGGGGATCTTTACCTGGTTTATGTATTGTTGTTATGATAGATTGTAGCATCTCTGTAGGTAGAGAGCCAGAGGCTGCAGCACTGTTGAAGAGTTTAGTTAGATGGGGAGACAAATTAGAGGCACGTTGTTTATAATATTAATTTATGTATCCGTCACCTCCAGGAGATTTATTTAATGGAAGGATTTTAATAGCTGATTCAACTTCCGTAGGTGATATTGGTTCTGATAAGGTTTGAATTTGGGATGGAGAAAGAGTGGGGAGATCTACTGTAAGAAATGATGTATAGAGGTGGGAGATGGTCGGGTAGTTCCTTTATCATCTTTAAGATTATATAGGGATTGATAGAAGTCAGCAAAGGTGTTTGCTATATCTAGTGAGTTTGTTACAGGAGAGGTGGACATTGGATGATGGACCGAGTTTATTTTAGATTTAAGGCGTTGTTGTTGTTTAACCGATCCAGCCAGTAAAAAAACAGCTTTGTTTCCTAAAGAGTAATATTTGGCTTTCAATTTTTTTAAATTAAGGTTGTATTTATATAGGAGCAAAGAACAGAGTTTGTTCCTATCTGTGTTCAGGGAGGCTGAGTTGGCAACAGTTGGGGAGCGTTTATTTTGTTCTTCTTTTAGTTTAATAGAGACTAATACCTCCTCAATTTGGCGCCTCCTCTGGCTATTTATCTGGGAGCTCAGTTTTATGAACACCCCTCTCAAATATGCTCTATAAGTAGCCCATAATGTATTTACAGAGATATCAGGTGTATCATTGGTTTCAAAGAAAAGCGATTGGGCTTCCAATATGGTGGTTAGGGTCAGTCAGAAGGGTTGAGTTCAGTGTCCAGAGGCGAGGAACAGGGGACTGATGTGGATCGTCGATGGTAATGCTTATTGGAGCGTGGTCAGACCACATTATTGTACTGATTTTCAAGGATGTGACGTGTTGCAGAGTTCATTTATCTGTAAGGAATAGGTCTATTCTACAGTAAGATAATTGGGAGGAAGAGTATTAGGAGTAGCCCCGTTCCAATCCATGTTGACATCTCCAAATGTCATAAAGGTCATTGATGTGTAAGAAGTGGTTCAAGGAGTGATGAGATGGGCATTTGCCAGAAGAAGAGTCAAGTTGGACGTTTCCAACAATGTTGAAGTCACCTCCAATTATTAGATGACCCTTTCTATAGGATGCGAGTGATGCTTAAAGTTTCTTACAAAATCGGATTTGGTTGGTGTTTGGACTATATATAGTAACTAAGGTATACTGAGTGTTATTAATATTACATATAAGGATGTGGAAGCGGCCTTGAGGGTCAGCATGTTCATTGGTAAGTTAGAAGGTCACCCTGTCTCTTATGGCAGTGAGTACTCCAGTTTCCTTTTTGGGGTTTCGAAGTGAGGAACATTGTAGAAAATTGCTTCATGGTGAAATTAGGTGTTTTGGGTGTGGTGAAGTGTGTTTCTTGGATGAAGAGGATATCTGCTTGTAGTGATGAGTATTGATCTTTTAAATGGTGAGTTGAGGCCTCGAACATGCAGTGATGCAATTTTAATCGCCATGAGTGAGTACAATGATGGGTGGATACCTGATTGGATGGTTTACTCTAGTTAGAGTCAGAGGTACTGAGTGGTAAAGTAGATGTATCTTGATACCAGTGGCAGTATTCAGTTGTTCTTGAAGAGAGGGATGGAAGACCTCAAAAACACTAGTATGGGCTTGCAGGAATGCTTGGTGTGAAAAAAATTGCCGGGAGTATTGTAGAGAACATTGGAGTACTGGAGACTGGAAATATAAACATGAAACATGCAAACAGAAAAAATACTGTATAAAAAAAATTCTTCTGGAAAATACAAGAGAAATGGGTAGCATGAACAGCTACTGTTAAGTAGGAGCAGTTGATCAAGCATGACACTAAGGGATGCTGGCAAGTGACTTGAGATCGCAGAGATTCGTAGATTAAGCTGAGGTTTCCAGCTATCAGGCAGAATGGGGAAGATATTAGGTAGGATCATGTTAGTAATATAGATGGGGTCTCCATCAGGTCTATTTCACTTCCATTTGTTGAGGTTTGTTTGGGTTGTGGGTTTGGTCGTCTGCAGGCAGGATCTTCCAGTCTTTAAGAAGCTCAAGGCCTGCTTTCAGACTTCTGATTACAAAGGGTTTTCCTTGTTGCTTGATTGTGAGTTTGGTGGGGAATCCCCACTGGTATCCAATGCCATTGTTACTTAGCGCTTTAGTATTGGAGATCATCTTCTTTCTGTTGAGCAACGTCCAGGGACGGACTGACCATATGGAAACTCGGGCACTGCCTGAGGGCCCGGGGTCAGTAGGGGGCCCCATGAGATTCCCCTGGTACCTTTTTCATAGGCTTTTTTGAGTTTGGGCAAGGACACAGGAGCCCCATGATCCCCTATTGCCCGGGGGCCCCATGAGTTGTCCGTCAGCCCCTGGCAACGTCGCTTTAGATAGGTCAGCATACAATACAGGGAGTGCAGATGTGTTTCTTGCTGCGGTCATAAGTTTTTCCTTCACATGGTAGAAATGTGTATGCATGCCAGTACATCTCTAGGCACTGATGTGGATATGAAGGATGGTTTAGGAATTCTATGGGCTTGATCAATGGCTAATTCTAGATCTGTGAGCGATGGAAGGAGGTGTTTCATTAATTGCTGTAGATAATGTACTATTGTGTCGGTGTTAACCAATTCAGAGATGTCGCGGAACTTAATGTTGTTTCTCCTGAGACAATCTTCTAAGTCCGCTATTTTGTGCTTTGCTTGTTGTAGCTCGGTGTCGTTATCTATGTGAGCATCTACAATGTCATTATGGGCTGAAAACATTTTGCTCATTTTGGTTTCAATATGACGCAAGCATTAGTCGTACTCATGCACGATGTTAGAAATCGGAGAAATCATATATGCTAAGTCAGTATCCGGAGTTTGTCGTAAGGAAAGAAGCATATTCTTCATAGTAAGCTCAAATACTGGTTGGCCAGAGGCAGGAAAGGATTTGATAGCAGGCAGGAGGGAAGATGCAGTTCTGTGAGAATAGTGTCATCTATTCTGGACCTTGATTTTACAGGGCTGAAGGTAGATGGGGATAGAGGGGGAGATGACTCACCAGGATCTCCTTCATAGATCACTGTCAGAAGCCTGGGATGCGGAGTGTATGCAGACTGTTCCTCTCTGAGCGTGGAGGGACTGCTTTGCACGCCATCTTGGCTGCAGAAGGTCCAGGCCGGATAGAAGTCTGTGAGCTTCTGTGGGTGTCCGGGTGTTTTCCGGCGGTGGGCCATGATGCCAGAGCGGTCGAGTAAGTATGCCTGGCTGCTATGCTTATTTGTGGCCCTCAGGTCACATTGGAGCCGCTGCGATAGCTGGAGAGGTGGCGAAGCTCTAGCAATGAGCTGCCATCCACAGAGTCGGCCGGATACGCCCCCCCCCATGTTGTACCCTTTAATGCACTAAGAAAAGGGCAGCCTTAGGCAATGAAGCGTCAAACTGGCAATAGGGCTTGTTGGAAAAGGGCAACCTAATCCTGGGCTGCAGTAACCAATGGCAATGGTGGTAGAAGTTCCTTTAGGAGGGAAGGCCAATGGTTAAGGGAACACTGGTGTGATCCAGCCTGCAGAAGGTGTGCACTGCGGTCAGCTCTAAAGATGTGTTAACTGAATACAATATCCCCAACTGTGTACAGATAAAGTAGCAGGTATGAGGAGAATGTCAGTGTTCTCTTGTTTAAATGGTGTATGGGACTCTCTCACCCGATTGGTGGCTCCCAGCAGGTCCTGGCTCTCTCTCTCAGTCAGTCGATGGGGGCCCCCATAGGTTCTCTGGCCTCAAGTGCAGTGTTCCGTCTGGTCAACGTGCTCTGGTTCACCAGCTGGCAGACTGTCTCACTGAACAAGGTGGCAAGGCTCTCCTCTTTCTAGCTCTGCGGCCTGGTCCGGTTCTCTGATACTCAACACAACTCTCTCTCTCTCTGCATCTTCTCTCCAGCTCTCTCCCCTCTCACATCCTGTCCAGTGTCCCAGGCTTCTGTATATATATCTGCCCCCCCACCACACACACACACGACATCTCTTCTGGGAATAGTAGTCCTGCAGTTCAGCATACAAGGTCCATGGGGCTGCTGTGAAGAGTGTGAGTGCCACTTCATTTGCAGAACACTGCTATCTTGTGTTGGTTTTAACATCCGGCAGCTGGTATTACGGCAAGGATGATACACCTGTTTCTCTGTCTCTCTCTCTGTCTCTCTCCTTTTATATACATATATGTATATATATATATCACTACCCCCTTAGGAGTTGCTGAAGATTTGGGTCTCCCCATAGTCCTGCACAGCCAGGCGACATGCATTTTCCATAGACTTACATTCTGGAAACAGTAAATAGTCCTTGAACTTGTTTTTTTTAAGTTTTATTAGGGGTGTTGGACTTGTACTTGAACTTGTATGGGATGCCCAAGGGAACTGCAAACTGAAGACAACTTCCCAGAAACTATATACAGGTCCAAAGACAGAACTTCTCTTGGGGCTCTCCAGCCTCTCCTGGTGTACCACCCAGGACCCAAGATGAATCCTCTTCTGTACCCAGCTGTTTGGAGGAATCCTGAGACAAGGAGATCCAGTGTCTGCCACTTTAAGATGAACAGTCCTGGGTAAGGAGCCAGTCAGGTTTCCCACCAGAGTGCTCTTTTCCCCTTAACTGTCCCAGTCTCTTTCCTGTAAGTTGGTTTACGTAGGTGGCTCCCTTCAGGCCTTCTGCTGGGCTGGCTCATTTCCTGGCTCCACAGGTAGTCCTCTCTTCATGGACTGGTGAGGCTGAGTGATCCTCCTGTCCAAGTCCCAGCCTGTAGGTAGGCTCCTTCTACTGGGCCCCCTCCCAGGATTCTGCATCTCTTCCTCACATCTTCCACCCGAACTCTCCTTCTGCTGAGCAGGCTGTCCTGACCCCATGCCAAGCCTCATTCTTTGGCATTGACCAGAGTTCTCAAAGTGTGCAGGCCAGCCCCTCATCTCCAAGATTCTAAAGCAGAGGAAGGTATCAGGGAACTGACCTGCAGAGCCTCTCAACCCTGACCCAAATTTGACGCTGCTATTTCCCCAGACTGCTACTCAGCCTTTCTATCTAACAATCAGCAACTAGCTCCACCTGGCTATCTAAAGGGGCAATATATATATATATATATATATATATATATAAAAAAATATATATATAAACATTAGCTTAGTGATTCCTTTATTTTTCAAAGATTTTCCCCACTGCAGTGAATCCACTCCAAATGACTTGTGTTCCCCACACCAGTGCACTTCCTAGATCACTAGATCAGTCACAGGAGTTATTGACCTTCAACTTAATAAGGTCTGGACACGCTTATTGTTATACATCAAAAATCTCCCCTGCACTCACCTTCACAAATATTTCAGCATCTCTTGCTATTGCCAAAAGACAAAAGTACTCCAAGTAGGTTTTTACCATCTTTAATCCTTTTAAAAAAAAAAAAGTTTAAACAATTCCACTCACATTTTTTAGAGCTGTACCAGCACTATATACACTGCTTTTTATATCTCCACCTTTCACGTACACTGCTCAGTCCAGAAACCACTAATCTGCTTTTATCCAACATCTGTGACTCATTAGGTAAATTCCCCTTTCCTACCTGATGAGCTGGGTGTACATGCTTATAGATGAATTCCAGGAAGGGATATTTTATACATAGTGTACAGCATGCCAGGGATGGGTACTGGAGGGGAGGTATGTGTTCCTAATTAAGGGGGACGGCAGGAAGCAGCTGAAGTACTCAAGTACTGAAGTAGGGATTCTCACCTGTGTAGTGTGAGGGGTTTCAGGGTGATACAACAAAGGAAAAACATATTTCCCAGGATTGGTAAGTTCTGATATGAATCCTGAAATTTGGAGAGATTTTGACTGGGAAAGAGCTTCCAACTGTGACTATGGTTACTGTGGTCCTGAAAAGACTAACTTACCTGTGAGAGAGGGCTGAAAAGGACACGAAGCAGTTAGCAGGTATCCATAAGAGGTGGTGTGAAGAAGGACATGCTTGTGAGAGGGAACTGTATACTGTTTGGCCTACTGAGACCTGCTGAGCTGAAATGACCTGTATTTGGACCTTTGGAGCCAGTGGGGACTTTAAAGCCTGTTATAAGACAAGGTTTTGTGGGTTATGAAAAATAAAGGCTGTTTGCTTTTACCAATATGGTCAGCTGGTGATCGGGACTCACCCAAATTACAATATTTACATTGGTCTAGCTTGGTCTAATTTAACTATGTGTATATTGTACTCACTGCCCCTCAAAGCTGGAAATCACTGAAGTAGACACCACTACTCCAGTGATCTCCACTTCCAGGTGAGCAACTGGCCTGCTGCATACTGAACACTGGAAGTCGGGCCACTAGGCATGGGTGCCAAATGAATGAATGCAAAGTGTTTTCTGATTGGACAAGGTAGAGAGGCAGAGCAGTATTCACTTCAGTGATTTCCAGCATCCAGGGGTATCAGCCAGGTATGGAATATACATAGTTACATCAGTCTAAGCTGGACCAATGTAGCTATGTATATATTATCCATACCTGGAGTTCTTCTTTAAAGTGGTTGTAAACCCTTACATATACCCAGTGAAGTAACTGGCCTCAGGTGATACACAGAGATGAAAAAACTCCTCCTACATTAGTTGTACTTGTTTATCTGCATCTTTCTCTTCTCTACAGTCTTGTAAAATACACAGATCAAAATAATTTTTTTTCTCAGCAGCAGAAAACCAGAGGTGGGGGTCATGACATCACACACACTGCAGAGCTAGAGAATAGAGCTCAGTAAAATATGACCCTTGCTTGGAGGGAAAGGACACACCATCCCCCACACAACAAGCAGGAAACCATGCACAGATGAGGCTGTCAATCACAGGCTGTGTGCTGGAGCTCCCTTCCCCATCCACCTCTATTTCTTGGAGTCAGGAAAGCCTATCAGCAGCGACTCATGCAGATATTAGAGCAGGAGACAGCAGACAGAAATCATATACAATGCTTTGGTTTTAGAGCCAAGTACACACTATAGAAGTACATGGTTTGTTCATTTATTTATGTCAGAGATTTACAACCCCTTTAAATCAGTATTCTCCACTGCCAGATAGCACAGCGTCTACTGTACTTCTCTCACCCACTGGTATTCAGCAGCTCTGTGCTCCACTGACTTGCAGTGTTAACAGACGGTGTGCACAAGCTCCTCCCAAACTTTTTTTTCATTTGCTACGGGTTTCAATTGATAAAAAAAGTTTTAAAATGTTAATGAACCTTGTGGAGCCAATCTTATTTTTCTATTGCATTGTGAAGAGGTGAAGCTTGTGGCAGCGGTGGATCCGGAATGAATTGTAATCCTACAAAAGCGCTTGTGACCTTTGCTATATTAAAGGT